AAATAATTAATTTTACTTAAAATAAAATTTAATTTGAATTTTATTCGAACAAAATATTTTAAGGAAAATATTAAAAAATAAAAATGAAATATTATTTATTAATTAACTCAATTATATTTATTTCGTTTAATTTGGATTTTGGAGGTATTTTTAAATAATTAAATATTTTATTAAACATTGAAAAACTGAAGTAATCCTAAAAACAAGTGAATAGCAACATAAATAATCCTATTCTGATGGAATAGGATAACTTGCTGAGAGATATGCTGGGAGATAAGTCCTTCATGTTATAGTCCAACGTTATATTTAGACGGAATTGAAAGTAGGGGTTGATAAAAGAAAGTTTAGGGGTGAAATCTAATTTTAAAAATTGGATTGTTTAAAAACTTATCGCCAGGAACTCGTTTACATTAATGGGAACTTCAAACGAGATTTCATTAATTAAATAATATAAATGTGTATATGTCACAGTCCAAATTACAGTACGATAACGAATTGTATTTGGCCGTCAAATTACATTTAGATTGCGGAACTAGTCCGAATTATTTCCGGATAAAGAAAAGTACTATTAGTTGCAAGGATGAGTAATAAGAGAATGAGAAAAACAAAACTAATAGTGTGTTTTAGGATATTAATGTAAGTTGAAACGTAATTTGTACTAAATCGCAACTCAAAGTAATTTGGCCGGCTAACTGTAATTTGGTTTATTTAAATACTTATACGTAGATACATACAAATGCTATGATGAAATCAATTTTCTAAGTAATGACTCAAAATATGTAAAAGTTAAAAGCGACCCTTGTGATACAAATAATTTCCTACTTGATGTGAAATGTATCAAATTTGATTGTGGAATGAGTTTGTTTATTTATTTATTGGGCTGGCCAAAATATGCATACAAAATCGCAGAGATGCGCATATTTCAAAATGTGCGCTAGATATTAAACAAAATTAACTAATTTTTATCAGAAATTTAAATAAGTTAATTTTGATACATGTTTTGGCTAGCCTTATTTATAATTATCTGCTTATATTTTGAAGTAATTAATTATTATATATGTATATTTTGTGTAACGTAAAATATTTATTATAAGAAAAATATTTCTAAGAAATTTTTTATTTGTTTAAAAAGCTGGTTATATATATGGCTGTGGTATTTGTCAACACGAATCTCTTGAGAAAGATGGCCATTTTTGCACTTGTCACGAATGTACAACAAATTTTTGTAATAAAGCTACAAAGAATATTTATCAAAATATAATTCCAAAGTTTCTTATTGTTATGATTGTTTTTCTTTTCTAATTGTTTTTGGTTTTGGGGGTAAAAAATCAAAGTAAATAATTATTAATACAAAATTTAAATAATTATTTTTAAATAAACATTTAAAAATTTTATACTATTTTTTAATCTCTTTTAATTTAGAATTATTTTTTATCGCATGAGAAGAAGGAAAAATTGAGATTATACATAAACAAAAATTATTAAAAATTTAAATTTAGTATCTAAATAAAATTATTGTATAAATAACTCTCGAAAACTAAAAAAAGATTTATTCTTTTACAATAAATACACGATTTTACAACTTATACATATGTATATCGTCATAACTATTCTTTAAAATTTTTATAATTTAATAAGCATAGTATTCTTTGTACCAACGTGTCGATGCTTCAATACTTTTTTCTTTACTTTTTTTGTCATTCTTTTTATTTTTATTTGCTTTACGTTTCTGAAAAGTAAAAATGATTATCATTACTGACACCCTTTTCAAATACTTTATTCTAATATTTTTCCTTTACCAAATCAAATTTATATTTTAGAATGAAAAATATCCTTAAATATTAAAATAAATTTAAAAATCAAAGAAAATTATTTTTATTCTTGAACAGTTTATATATGTTTCAAAGAATTAATTATCAAAAACCCCCAGAAATAACGCCTCAATTTTTTATTTTTCAAAAATCTTTAACCCTACCTAGCCTTTAAATTAAAATCCTTCCAGTTATCTAAAATACCTTTCTGAACTTAACATAATCAATAACTTCTGATTTGAACACTGAAATTTTTTGTCACAAAAATTGTAATCAATTTTATAGGGCTGATACTACATTTTTTAAATAAAATTTATGTATAAATCAGAAGTCGGTCAGAATTCCTATTTCCGCCGTTTTTCCCTCCGATTTCCGAGTTTCGAAATTTTGATCAAATTTCTGATTTCCGATGACTTTTTAAGTATTTTTTCCAATTTTATTTATTCCAATTTTTATGATATAAATTAATTTATTAATTGCCACTAGATAATTTATATAAATTTATAAATTAATCTTTACCTTACGTGATGGCACTTCAGACCAAAAGCCACCACCATCATCATCATTATCTTGTGCCAAAACCCCTCGTTGATTTTCCATTTTTATCATTCCATCAAGAATAAATAAAGCAATAAAAATTAAAAATAATACTTTTATCATAATTTTAGAATTAATAAAATATTTTAGAATTATTAAATTTAAAAAATTAAAAATTAAATTAATGGAGATGATAAAAGATGCTTTAAACTAAAGCTTGCCATGATATTCTAAGCTAAGTAAATATAATAATTTATTTTAAATAAAATACCCCAACATTAAATTTAAAAAGAAGGTTCGAGATATTAAAAGTTGTGGTTTGTAACATTTTTTAATTCTAGAATATTCCCAATAAGTATTGGGTAAATTTTTTAAAATTTTATTTCTATCAAGCGACACGTTTTAATTTTTTGTCAATTATTATTTCACTTCCCTTATACTTTTTATAAAGCTTCCGCCTTTTATTTTTCAAGTCTGGCCTATTCCATCAGGTGACCGAATTTCATGATGAATTTTTGAAGGGTAAAATAGAAAAAAAGAAGTCTCCTCACAAGAAAGCTCATGACTGGGGTTTCCGGGTCCGGTATTCCGGAAACTGCGGTATTTTTGTAAAATGTTTATTTATAAAGTAAAAGAAAATGACTAGGATTAAATATGATTAAATAAAAAACAATTTTAATTAATCATTTGTGTCAAATTTAAGCAAAAAATATTCTTGTTTCTAAACATTCTCATACTTTCTTTCCATTAAAAACAATAAAAATAATATTTGGCACTCTATAAATGAAAAATATTTGACCCTATCCCGAAAGAAGGGTCGAATCGTTTTTTTCATTACTTTTTATTTCTTTATAAAAATGGTCAGTTTTCCTTAAAGTTGATGTAGGTTGATGTTTGCCTTAAGGAAAATGGTGAAAGAGATTAAATTTTTATATTTTTTTCTTGTTTTCGTTTGTATCATTTACACGGACGAACACGGACGAGCACGGACACAAAACACGGACGAACACAGACGAAGCGAGCACGGACAGACAAAAGACGGACGAACACAGACGAAACACGGACGAGCATGGACAGACAAAAGACGGACGAACACAGACGAAACACGGACGAGCACGGACAGACAAAAGACGGACGAACACAGACGAAACACGGACGAGCATGGACAGACAAAAGACGGACGAACACAGACGAAACACGGACGAGCATGGACAGACAAAAGACGGACGAACACAGACGAAACACGGACGAGCATGGACAGACAAAAGACGGACGAACACAGACGAAACACGGACGAGCATGGACAGACAAAAGACGGACGAACACAGACGAAACACGGACGAGCATGGACAGACAAAAGACGGACGAACACAGACGAAACACGGACGAGCATGGACAGACAAAAGACGGACGAACACAGACGAAACACGGACGAGCATGGACAGACAAAAGACAAACGAACACAGACGAAACACGGACGAGCATGGACAGACAAAAGACGGACGAACACAGACGAAACACGGACGAGCACGGACAGACAAAAGACGGACGAACACAGACGAAACACGGACGAGCATGGACAGACAAAAGACGGACGAACACAGACGAAACACGGACGAGCACGGACAGACAAAAGACGGACGAACACAGACGAAACACGGACGAGCACGGACAGACAAAAGACGGACGAACACAGACGAAACACGGACGAGCATGGACAGACAAAAGACGGACGAACACAGACGAAACACGGACGAGCATGGACAGACAAAAGACGGACGAACACAGACGAAACACGGACGAGCACGGACAGACATAACACGGACAGATAAAACAAGGACGGACACGAACGGTCGAACATGTGTCCGTCTGTGTTTAGTCTGTCCTTGTTTTGTCTGTTCGTGTTCTTCTGTCATTGTCCGTCCTTCTCCATTTTTCCTTAAGGCAAACATCAATCTACATCAACTTTAAGGAAAACTGACCATTTTTATAAAGAAATAAAAAGTAATGAAAAAAACGATTCGACCCTTCTTTCGGGATAGGGCCAAATATTTAATTACAATTTATTCAAAATCCAATAAATGGATGTTCATCTCTTGGGCGGCATTTTATGTTAATGAAATAAAATTAAGGATTCCAAATTAATGTTCGAAAAAATAATTGTCAAAAATGGTACTAATAATATTTTTTCTTAACTAAATTTCCGCCTCTGTAATCTCTTTATAATAAAATTAAATTTTAATATTATTTTTTAACATTCTTTATAGTTTGAAATTTTACTTAATAAATTTTAGTAGTTTTTTTTTTGTTTAAAATATTTATTCAAATCACAACCCTCTACCCATTTTTAAAACAAGCTAAAATTAAATATATGGAAATGTTGTAATTTATTTTTAAAAAAATTAATTAAAGAATAATTCCTTTCATTCAAAACAATTATTTTAATTTAAATTAAAATAATTTTTTTATTTTTATTTTAAAAACTTGTTTTATTTTTTTATTAAAGTTGATACTTAAATTTAAAAATAATTAAAAGTTTGATTAATTAAGAGTAAATATTTTTTTTATTTTATTATAAATAAAGAAGGAAAATAAGTTTTAAGAGTTCATTAATTAAAAAAAAATTTAAATTAAAAATAATTACTAAATAAAATGAATTTTTTTCTTTTATTTCCATTTTTGTTAATTAATTTTTGTTATTTCACAAACGGTGAAAAAGCAACAATTGAACAATGTGACAATGCGATGGATGCTGATTATAAAGCTGACTGCAAGTTTGTCAATTAATTTAGAGATTAATAAAATAATTTAAACTTTTGATTGGTTAATTTAATACTTTAATATCCAATTTCTTTTTATTTTTATATTCGATATTTTTGTATTTTTAAAGTTTTCTCAGTACTTTTTAATAAAGGAAATACATAAGAATTTTGTGAGACTTAAAAATCCATAAACGAATAAATTTTAGATGTTTAACTGATTTTCCTACATGTATGAAATCATTAGTATCTGAAGGAACGTGTACAAAAGACAATTATCCAAATAAAAACTTTATTGAAAAACCGTGCAGTAATGTGTATTCGAAATGTTCTTCGGCGAAAAATGGATGTGAAGCTGGTATCTGTGCATGCTTTGAGTAGGAAATTTAATACTATCTATTTTTTGAATTATTAAATAAAATGTTGGAATATATTAACAAAAGTTGGGGAATCTGAGAGATTCCGTTAATATTTGCCTCCACAACCTCAACAAAAACCTAAAAAATAATAACGGGTCACCCTGACTAAATTTTCCAATGGGAAGGGGAATCTAATATTTTTCTCGATATTCCCTAAATTTCTCCACAAATAAGCCTCCAGTAAATCTTCATTTTTTTCAAAAATCTTTAATAAATTTATTTTATAATAGTACTAATTTAATAATTTAAAATATAAAAATTAAAGTTCGATTGTTGATTGCTTGTTCAAAAATACATGTCAACCTATACCAAAATTTACAGGCAGTTCAGCAGCAGTTAAACGTATATTTTTAATTTTAATTTATACTTCTAAATTATAAAATTAAATATTTAGGCGTTCGAGCATCTGATACAGCTTTTAGTTTTAACAATTTATTTGATACACATTTTGAAAAAATTGAATAAAGAAAATTAGAATAGATTAACGAATTTTTAGATTAATGAACATTGTAGCACTTCTTTTAAAGTTGTAGCAGCACCTTTTTTACAATATTACCTATGATATTTTTAATTAAATGATTTTAAAAATTTTTTGAAAAATTCAAAAGTTAAAAATACTTTCTCGTATTTGGAATTTATAGAAATTAAAAAAATATCTATAATTCCTTTCAGACCTGCACACATTTTGAATGGTAAAGGCGTCTTCGCTCAACTTGCTAATTCAGTAAATTGTAACCTAACCTTCAATTGTTTTCTAACCCCAATTCGAAACCCAGTATTTTCTAAAAATTTCCAATAAAAAGGAGCGCTAAATATTCAAATTTTTGTCGCCTACGTTGCTAATTTATAGAATATTTTTGCAAATGTTAAATAAAGAACATTTTGAGGACTTTTAAGAAGTAATAAAAAATATTATTTAAAAATTTAACTGTTCAAGGAAGATTTTGTCAAGGAGTTAGTGGAAATTCTTGGGAAAAAAGCTATAGTAATAGTAAAATTTGTTATTGCCTTAATAATGGTAATAATGTAATTGCATTAATTCAATTAAAGGGCAACGGAATTAAAATGCAGACAACTAGGTAATTTAATAAAAGCATTAAAATTAAAAATTTATAAAAAATACATATTACATTTACAAAAATAAACAATATTTCTGTATAAAAATTTATAAAAATATTCTTTCTAAATTAAAATAAAATTTAATAATTTATAAAACTTTCCTCTATTATTTTCTATTTTTTTTGCATTTAATATTAAATATTTTATTAAGTCTTGCTTCCATTTTTGCTTTATGGCCGGAAGTTGTAATTATTGATTAATCAATATTTAAATTTTTGCAAAAATACATAAGAGTAGCTACATATGTAAAATTCTCAATGAATGCCTCTCCTCTTCATAATATACATACATAGATTTTTATTTAAAAATTTATTTTAATTAATATAAAATATTCATTTTTGTATAATAAATATTTAATAAATAATTTAAGTTTTTCTTATTTAAATGTTTTTAATAAATTCAATCCAAATTTAAGTTAGCCAGCTTTCCGAAGTTGTAAAAACCCCCAAAACTAATTTTTTAAACCGAAAACTTTTTTAATTTTCCCATAAATAATTTTTAAAAATTTTTTTAACAAATTTTTCGAAAAATGAATTGAAATTTGCTGGCCAAATTAAAGCTGGTCTGAGGCAGAATTTGGAAATCAAATTAATTTTTTAATTTGAACACTTCTAAAATTTTATTTTACTGACTGATTGTTAGAATATTTTATACTTTTTTTAATTTTCACATAAATAATTTTTTTTAATTTTTAGATGAAAAACTATTTTCCCTAAATTTCCGAATAGTTTTATTTAAATGAAATTTATTTTATTTTTAACATATTTTTTGGTTGTGTTTTTCACAAATTTACCTCAACCATTTGTTAGAGGAGCGGGAAGTAGCTTTGGTAAGTTTAAATTTTGAAAATAAAAATTTATTTTGTATTACCAACATCGATTAGACAATTTGGAGAAATTCAGCCCCAATTTAAGTAGTGAAAATTATGCAAAAAATTATAAAAAAAAAGTTTCCTTCATCATCCCTTTTTCATTTTGAAATATTAATTAAATTATACCAAGCTTCTATAAATTTAAAATTAAATTTATCTTCTACTTTTTCATAACTTATCTTCCCAATACATAAATAGTCCCCAATCCTCTTTAAAAAGTAACTTTAGCTTTTCCTATTATTTATACAAATAATTACGCATCGCTTAAGTCCTTTACATCAGGGCTGTGCGCCAAAATTTTCGCGTGGCGCGCCAAACGCCAAACGCCAATTTTTTAAATTTTAAAAACACGCCAAACGCAAAACGCCAAAAATCGGCCAAAATTAACGCCAAAACGCCAAACGCCAGACGCCAAACGCCAAAATTTTTATAGTCTATAAAGACTCAAAAACCTCTTTTCATCTCATTTTAGCGCCGCAGGCGAAATTTTTTTCATTTTCAAGATTCCTAGAAGCTAGAATTCATCCTTTTTTACCGCCGGATGCGAAATTTTGAAGAGTTTTTGAAAATTTTTTGAATTAAGTAAGACCAGGAAACAGGCCCTAGCCAATGGGGGAGAATTCCTATCTCCCGAAATGAGGAAAAGGAAAAAATTTGGGTAGAACCCCGTGAGATTAAGGTGGATATGAAGACAAGAAGTGGGTAATAAGAATAACACAGGTCTTGAAGTGAGTAAATGGTTGATGATGAAGTATTAGTTTTAGATAGGAGCTCCCTACTTTAAGCGCCGCAGGCGAAAATTTTGAAAATTTTGGAAGTCCAAGCAGTAGATTTCTTCATTTTTATGCGCGGCAGGCGAAAATTTTGAGAATTTTGGAAGACTGTAATCAGAAAAATTTCCTTTCTCGATCGTCCCTTCTACCAATTATTTTAAAAAATTCCCATCAATAGGGGTGTATATTTCTGGCGTTTGGCGCGCCAAAATCGGAAAATCACGCCAAACGCAAAACGCCAAAAATCGGCCAAAATTAACGCCAAAACGCAAAACGCCAGACGCCAAACGCCATGACGCACAGCCCTGCTTTACATATGCGCGCTTAATATAGTAAAGCAGCTTGGCTATAGCTATTTCTCTCCTTTGGCTAGTGCAAAAGGTTATTCGGCGCTGGGAGCGAACCAGCATCTTCAGAAGATGTGTTAGCTATTAAACTACACCGCCTACTGCACAGCCTTAGGAATTAAATAGCCATATGCTTTACAATATTCAGGTCCCAACCAAATTTACGTTCCGGCAGAACACTACAATAACTAATTTTCACAATAACCTATAACACCCATTAAAACCTCTCGCCTTTTTTTTATATTTACAAGATTTAATTTTATAAAATTTTTACTATATTTAAACAGAAAAAATTCGAAGATGCCATTATTACAACCCAAATGGGAATGTTAAAAGTTATTCTCTAGTAGAGCTTTCTTTTCTAATTCGAATATTAGAGAATATTGTGCCTGATGAATTTTACGCGAATGATGATCAAATTTTAGATATTTTTGTTGGAATAGGGGAAGGAATACTTCGAAATTATAACTTGTCTGATGATTACTTCCTTCAATGTCTTGTAATAAAACTTGACAATGTGAGAGAATTTTATGTTTTTTTTTAAATTTAATAAAACTTTAAATAAATAAAGGTCATTAATTATTATGAAAGAATAATTGCTGGTTACGAAATAGTTTTGGGCCAAGAAATTGGGGTAAATGAAAAGAATTTTTATTTGCTCTACCATTTGTATGCTTTAGCAAGAACTCTTATCAGAATGTTTTTCCAATCAAATTATTTTGTTACATATACAACTCTTTTCAGACAAAATACTGCGTGAGTATGTTTAAAATGAAGTTATTATTTTTAAAAATTAACTAATTGTGAAGTTGATTCTCAAAATAGTCAAAAATTGTATAGAGGGAAATGAATCTGAGTCAACGATCGTGACGTAGAAAAATTATTTTTCGAATAGAATATAATTTGTATTTTTACTATGGTACTAAATTAAACCACAGAAAATCTAGGACTACTAGATTTTTTCCGCTCTTGTCATCTTAATAGCATTATATTGATCAGACCTAATTACAAAAAAAATTTTAAACGAAATGGACACTTTTCCTTTGAGTTATGTCGAAAAACACGATGTGCCATCTTTTTTTACGCAGTGTATTAATATCTATCAACGCAAACATATTAAATTTTAATGAAATTTAGGAAAAGTATTTCACTGATTCGCTACGTCAAACCTTATGATGTTTTTGAAGTGCAAACAAACAAACTTCATATCCATCTAGTGGATCTAAATAATATTTTTACTCAACGGAGTAATTTTGACGTAATCCATGATGGTGTCAGGGGTAAATTAATTATTTACTAGATTAATAAATCTTGTATTAAATCTTGTTTATAATGCTTACATGGATTAAATATAAATCTCTATGCAGTAAAATATTTTGTTTATCCTAACAAAGATATAATATATCCTAAACATCTCCCCCCCCCTACCTCCCACCCCCACTCAAAATAACACTCTCCTATCCTCCACATATTTAGTCTTTCCTTCTAATTATCAAACTTGCTTTATATTTTATTTTATTGTCAGTTAATTATGTGAATGCAGTGAAACCTTTGGAACAGGTAGAAGCTGAGATAACCCACCAATATGCGGTAAATTTTAGAGGAGATCGGAGTCATGAAAATTATAATACAATAGAACGTTACGAAGAGATTATATTTACGTTCACAAGTAATTATTATTTTTCTTTTTATCTGTCACTCATTTCAAATTACAAATTCTAAAAGTATGTAAAATGAAAAAGTTATGGAAATGATTTATTAATTAATAGGCTAATTAATAGACCAAAATCATTAATAATCAAGGATACATCTAAAAAACTTTTTATTAGTTAATCCGATTTCTTTCCGATCCAGAATCGGGATCGATTTCACTATGCCTGAATTCTGATATAAATTCTGGTAAAGCTTAAACCAAGTTCAAATATTGTGAATATTAAGGGTGACTTACTAAATATATCAATTTTGCAGGATTCTAAAGAATTTAACCAAATTTTAATTTTTGTTTAAATTCTAATAAAATTATTTATTTATAGTATATAATTATATATTATATATGTATTATATATATTATACACTTAATAAATAAATAATTAAATATTAACATAACAATTTAAGGACCCGCCGATAATGCGGTGATAACAAATGAAGAACTGGCAGAATTGAATAATATTGATGTTGAAGATGATTTATATAGACTTTTCTATTCAGAATATATTTTAACTCGACAAAATCTTCAATCAAGATTACAGGAACTTTTGATAAATCCTTATTTGATTAATCAAATGGGAGGGAATATTGTGTATAACTACGCTTCAACTGAATTAATTACTTTGTATGAGGGGGAAGAATATGAAGTAAAAATTCCAGAACTTTTAACTCGTCAGGTTGATTATATAAAGCTTTAAGAAGGGTTTAATGATTGAATTCTTTATTTTTCGACAATTATTTCTTTGGTAATAGTTCGGATGAGACCCCCCTCCTTTTTCCTTTCTAAAAGTATTAAAAAATGGTCAGTCAGTCTTAGGTTATAGAACTCGTCGAGCTGTGTCAAATGACACCAAAATCAAATCTTGCTTAATTACGTTGATTTTTATGTCATTCGAATCAGCTCGACAAGCTCTCTCGAATGAGCTTTCTCGAATGAGAAAAATGAGGGGGGTCTCATCCGAACTATTAACATTTCTTTGTGTAACATAAAACTTAGAGGGGTATTGATTTAAGTAATCTCGTTTTAATCATATCTTGGATACCTCAATGTTTGTGATAACCAATTAATAAAATTGCTATGATATAGTATGTATATAAAATTGTTATATTAATTAAGTTTGATCTACCAAGACCAGCACCACGTCGTCGTCGTAGAAATGGCAACGGTGGAAATGGAGGAAACGGGAGAGATAGACCAAGTCAACGTGGTAGAAGAGATGGTGGAAGTGGAAGTGGACATTAACGAGTTAATTAGTTAGCAGAATTTGGCAAATGCAAAATTGTTGAGAAATTTATTTTTGAAAGAGAATTTTGGATTATTCTTTACTAAATTATTTAAAGCCTTTCTTTTTTGTGTTTGGAGGGTTTTTATGGGTTTTGATTATTTTTAGAAAATTAAAAAACAAGTATTTAAATGGAATTTAACAACATTTTGGGCAACAAGAATTTTGAAGATTATTTTAAATTTTGAATTTAAACATATTTTTAAAATATTGTTTTTTCTATGTTTAGGAATTTTATATAAAATTTATTTATAAATTAATTTTTTCATTAAAAGCTTACTAAATTAAAAATCTCGGTAGGGCAGCACTTACAAAATACTTTAAAAAACTCGGGTCATTTTTTAGAAAAAACTCGAGTCTAGGTTTATTTCCTCGGTTTCAGTGCAACTCCAAAGACAATAGACTAGCTTTTTCGCTATGGCTTTCATTTAAATTAATGCATGTTTTTAAAGCATTATATCAGGGATTCTGCACCGTGCAGATTACTGAAAATCATTATTTTTTTTGGGGGGAAATACGAATGTGTTTGGGCGTTTGGAGGTTATAGTAAAAAATTAATATTTATATCAAAAATATATTTAAAAATATTCATTATGTATATATTTTAGTTCAAATTACTAAATAATTTTTTCATGTTTACTTTAAAAACCTGTCTTTATTTTTTTATTAAAACTGAGACTTAAATTAAAAATAATTTAAATTTTGATTAATTAATATAAATATTTTTTTTTATTTCATTATAAATAAAGAAGAAAAATAAGTTTTAAGAGTTCATTAATTAAAAAATTTTTTGAAATTAAAAATAATTAATTAAATGAATTTTTTTCTTTTATTTCCATTTTTGTTGATTAATTTTTGTTATTTCACAAACGGTGAAAAATCAACAATTGAACAATGCGACACTGTGATGGAATATCGTGTAGATGATTCTTGCATGTATGTTAGTTTAGTAAAGCTGAACGGGGCCTTAGCTGAGTGGGGGCTTTAGCTAATGCAATAGTTTAATCGGTTGCTGGGAGCTAATCAGCAGCTTTAATTAACTCGACTTATGTCCATTATCCATACACTACGCCATCTTCAGCATAATTTTAGGAATTAAATAGCTATATGTTTACATTAGAGATTGCACGAGTTATGTTTTTATTAAAAACAAAAATTCTCAAATATTTTTATTAATTTAATAATAATAATTAAAAGATGTACAAAGGATAATTTAATTAAATGTCTAAAGACATTAATAACTGAAGGAACGTGTACAAAAGAAAATTATCCTATGAATTTTATTGAAAGACCGTGTTCTAAAATGTATTCAAAATGTTCTTCGCCGAAAGATGAATGTGTATGTAATTGGGGCCTGTGCTTGTTTTGAGTAGGAATTTTACTTAATTATTAAAGGTTGCAAAAAAAAAGGATATATACATATAATTTCTCGAGGGAACATCCATACCAGGGATGTCACGGGTTACCCGAAACCCGATACCCGAAACCCGAAACCCGGCCTTTTTTTCGACCCGATACCCGAAACCCGATCCGAGAAATTTTCTAAAACCCGACCCGAAACCCGACCCGAGAATTTTTATTTTTCAAAACCCGACCCGAAACCCGACCCGAGTTTTTTCAAAATTTTCGCCCGCGTCGCAGAAAAAGGGAAGATTTTTAGCTTAATGATCCTCCAAAATTCTGAAAATTTTCGCCTGCGGCGCTGAAAAAGGGAAGATTTTTAGCTTAATGACCTCCAAAATTCAAAAATTTTCGCCTGCGGCGCTGAAAAAGGGACTTTTTTTTGACCCGAAACCCGAAACCCGATCCGAAGAAAATTTTGGAAACCCGATCCGAAACCCGACCCGACTTTTTGCTCAACCCGAAACCCGAAACCCGATCCGAGAAAAATTTTGGAAACCCGATCCGAAACCCGACCCGACATTTTTCTCAACCCGTGACATCCCTGATCCATACCTAAACTAAACAGTTCTATAAAATAAACTTTATAAACATTTTTGGAATATATTTACCTAACCTGTCATACATATTTAAAACTGATTTCAACTTTAATAATGATATAAAAATAAAAGATAAAATTTTAAGTGCGGTTGTTGATTGCTTAATCGCAGGAAAATGTACACCATTAACTTTAACAAAATTGCTCGACAGTCCAACATCAAATAAAGGTTAAATATTAACTTTAAAAAAGCTATATATATTTTTTTGAATTAAATATGTAGGTGTTCGAGTATCTGACACAGCTTTTAATTTAAACAATTTATTTGATGCACATTTTGAAAAAATTGAATAATGAAGACGGAAAGGATTAACAAATTTTTATTTAATGAAGATAATAGCATTTCTTTTAAAATTTTTAACGCCATTTCTATCAATATTATACATATTTTTTAAAAAATAAATGATTCAAAATTAAACTTGCTGGTATAAGAAAAATTTTAACATTAATTTTTATCATTATGTCTTTATTTTTAGTTTATTTACTCTGAAAATATTTTTTGATGTAACTACCTTATTTGCAACCGCCAGGAACTTAAACTACGAAACCGTTCGATTTTTAGAAGCTTTAGAGAATTGTCAAGAATTTTGGTTAAACGAGAGAATAACATATACCTATCTGGAATCAATTTATTTTAACTGATAATAACAATTTCCAGCAAATTTAAAATTTTTAAAATTAAGGAGTGTTTTTTGAATAAATTTTTGTCATTTTACCCTGAAAAAATTTTTTCATCAAAATTTTTAATGAATAAAAATTTATTTTGTATTAGAGTTGCAGATTTACCTGCCGATTACCTAATTTCATTCCTATTTAGTATCTTGTAGTTCTAATATATTCTCTGTTGCTTTTAAAAATGTAAATTCGAATTTTCTTATTTTTAAAATTAATTTTATATTTTTTTATTCTCAATCGTTCCCAGTCTATACTCTATAACAAGCAAAAAAAATGAAGAAATAATAATTTTAATTTATTTTTCACATAATAACTGAATCATCGTTTAAAATCTTTTTTATTTTAAATTATATGTATTTTTGATTTTTCATTTCATTTTCAAATATTTTTTATTAAAATTTATTTAAAATATAAAATTATGATTATAAAATTAATCTTAACAATTTTATTATTTTTTTCTTTCAATTATTCTTCTATTATTAGCTGTTCTTTAAATAATAAAATTAAAATATCCAAAATTGAAAATATAAATATTATTACCGAAAAAGATATAACAAAATTTAAATTTCCTTTAGAGAATATAACTGGCTGTTCTGGGTTTTTTAAATTAATTTATAAAATTAAAAAGATTTTAAAGAATAATATTTTGTTATGAAAGTCAGCTAAGTTCTCTCTCTAAAAAATTTTGGAAAGTTAACAAACGTTTTGAAATTACAAGAAAAAGGAATAGTCAAATATGTCAACAAATGATTGAAAAATCATTCGAAATGAAAAATGTTGAATGGCATGGGTTTGTTGTTATTGAGGAAGGAAATAATTGTTTGAAAGTTGAAGCTGATATTTTTAAAAGGTTTGGGTTAAAGTTAAGAAAAATATAATATTTGTCAAACAATGGGATTTGCAGGATTACGTATGGTGAAAATTAGAGACGGATTGGAGGACTTAGAGAAGGAAAATTAAGGACATACGACCTCTATCTCAATAATCGAGATTTTTTTCAAGATATCGTCTCGATCCGATCTCTAGTGAAAAATTTTTCTTTAATAAAAAAATTTTCAAAAATAAATTGAAAGTAAAGGCAACATTTTCGGAGAAATGTCCTTTATTATAAAAAAATTTTCTTAAATTAATATAAAAATAATTGTCTATAAATTTACAGCGAGAGGTATGTTCTAAATGATATTAAAGCCTCGGAACTTATCGCTTATCTTCTTGGAATGGATAACTCGCTTAAAAGTTAGTACTGTAAAGATAAATTATTTAATCGAAAAACAAACTTTTTAAGATTTATTCTAAATAATAGAAATTAAAGTTTTTAGTTACTATCACCTAAGGTTTCTAAAAGATCCAAAAAGTCGAGACAAGACAAAAAAACCCCAAGAAAATATCTTGACCAAGAATCTTGAACAACATTAATTTCTAAAAATCCTCCTTCAAGGAAAATTTTTAAGGGAAAATCTTAAAGGCTAGTCCTATTGACGATGAGCTGCTTAAAAAAGTTAGCCAAAAACCAAAATTATTGCTTGATGATTATGTTGCTATTTTGGCTTTAAAATTGGATATTCTGTTTGTATCCAATCAAAATTGTTTAACAAAAGCTCTGGATCGGACGTTTCTCTGGGCGTATGTTAATAACTGTCAAACAAATGAGGTAAAAGAACCTTTTATACAAGTTAGAGTTGTATCCCGAAAATTATAGTTAAGTTGTATCCGCCCCGTCGTGTTCAGGCCTTGTCGGAAATATTTTCGGGCATGGTTCGGATAGGGGAAAATTTTATTCTAATATTTTGAAAAAATTGATTTAGTAAAATATCAATTTATAAAAAATAAAACAAAATTTACTGCCAAAACTCAAAATTCTATGAAATAAGAGTTGGAAAAGAGTATGTTAAAGGAGTCATGAAAAATATTCTGTCAATAAGTCTAAACGAAATGAATTTTTAATGTTTATTTCTGAGAAGCATTGTAAATATCTTAATGATCAGAAGATAATCTCGCGTCAAAATAAATTTTAATAAATTAATGTGTCCATTATATGTATGTCTGAACTTTTTTTTAAATTTTTATTATTAATTCAATCATCTCTTCAATTAACAAAATATTTATATCACAATTTAAAACCACAATTTAACATTAAAAATCTTTATTTAGCTTTAATTATTTATTTAGTATTTTTATCTCTGTCAGTGTTTATTCCAAGTTCTTCATAATCAGATATATTCTAAAGATATAAGTTTTTTACAAAATTTTAAAGCAAAAGATTACCTTTTTATTAATATTCCCTACGAGAAACACATTTCGGTAACCCATTAATAATTTTACAAATATGAAAGAATCCACAATTAATTGTGCAATATTTTGGGCATAAAGATTTGGGTATACAAACATTATTTTTATTTCTAGCATATCCTTTCTGACATTGACATTTTGGGGGGTCACACCTTTTTATACAAGGTATAGGTCCAATATCCGTACATTTAGGCTCGCAAGGTGTGGCACATTTTGCGAAAACTTTTCCTTTTCCACATAGAGGAGTTGGTATTCCTATATCACAATAATAGGTTTGGCAGTACAACAATAGCACAAAAAATGCAAGAACAATTTTTGTTTGGTGAACTTCTTTCTTAACAAATAAATAATTTAGGATTTAGAATTGGCAAGCATTTAAAAAAGCCTCGTTATCAAGTCGGGAGGTCTAGGGATAGGGATCTATGATAGTCGAAACAAAAATACCTGGTTTCTCTCACTAACTAAATTTTTGCTAAAAGAATTCTTGGGGTCTTTTTAAAATTAGATCATTGTTAAATGTGCAGAATATTACCTACTATAATAATTACAATATTAATTACTACAATGCCTTTCATTTTCTAAAAACAATAATAATAAACACATAACTAAAATTTATAAATCATTACCTGCATTACGTCTCTCTAATTGGAATAAAAATAAGTTTAAAAACTTTTTAATAAAATTAATGTTTTTGACTGTTAAAATCAAATTTTGAGATTTTCTATTTATTTATTTTCGAATAATTGTTTAAAAAGAATCTCAATTTTATTTCCAGCTTAGTAAGCACGATCAACAAACAATTACTTAAATAGACAGTCACATATATTTATTTTTTAATTGAGCATTTTTAATAAAATGTGACAAATTTATTTTAGTAAAACGTGTAAAACTTGTTGGATTTGGAAATTAAGGAAATAATGATAAAGAAATTATTTGGGAATTTTTTACGTAAAGTAAAATATAATAAATTAAAAATAATAACCTCAAGTAGATCTGTTTCTAAATTTCGATTTTTGACTTGAAATTCTTTAAAACGGGTTTCGAAACAGCTCTAATCATAAGAGATCATCAAAGTTATTTTTATTTCATATAGAATAACCCTTTCAATTTATAACCAAAAAATTAAACTTATATTTTAAGATTATATCAACAACAACAACACAAAGTGTAACGAGGAAGCAAAAGAAAAAGATTGGAATTGTTTGTATTTTTAAATAAATTAACTAAAAATTACTTAAAAATATAAACAATTATTTGATTGCTTATTTGTGATTGAGCAAAGTTAAAATCAAATTTTGAAAGGCTATGGAGTATGTAACCTTAACGGAAAGGGAATTATTTTTGTTTTTTCTCCGACACAATTAATTTGTCGAACTTTTTTGATCTTCTTTAAACAAACATTTACC